TTTTTTTTTTTTTTTTTGTCTTTTTATGTACTGGAGATTAAACCCAGGCCCTTTGCACTGAGCTACATCTCCAGCCCTTTTTTATTTTTTTATTTTGAGACAAGTTCTCACGAAGTCACTAAGTTGCCCAGGCTGGGCTCAAACTCGTCATCCTCCTGTCTCAGCCTCCCAGAGTGCTGGGATTATAGACACACACTGCCCTACCTGGCTGAAAACACCTATTTTAAAAACTTCTATTTGAAAACTACAACCCAGTCCCCGAGGACCTGGGTTCTGATAGCTACCGAGGGCACCTGCTGTCCCAGGATGCTCTGAGAAGTCCGGTACCCCCGCAGGGTTCTGATGCTTTAGGCCGTATTTGCCCCTCCTAAGTACTCCTGCCAGTACCCCGTGGCTGGGCCTCACCCGACTCGGAAGGGCCATGTGTGCCCGCAGACATGGGAGCGCCCCTGCACACGCTGCTCTCCTCCCTTCTCCTCCCCTGTCCAGCTGCCACACACGCAGCCCCAGCTCGCTTCCAGTAAATCAGACATTGCCAGTCCCTTGCTCAGCTGGTTCCCTGCTGTGGCCAGAACAGGGCCCAGCCCAGCCAGTGACCTCTCCCCGCACCATGGTCCCCGATCCCTCTGGACCGTCGTAAGCTCCTCCAGCTTCAGGGCCCCGGCTGCCCGCCTCTCCCTGCTGGGCTGCAGGCTGTGTCCCTCCCTAAGTCTGCACAGCCTCCCCTCCATCTGCACCTGGCTCGGCCCAACCAACAGATGACCTGAAACCCGCTCACCACCATCCCGGCGCCGGGGCCCGCCTTGGTGTCCCCACAGCACTGAGAGCGGCTTCAATGGCCTCCTGTGAGGGTATGAGACACTGCAAGTGTGTCCTGGGGCAGAGAGGGGCTTGGAAGTCTTAGAGGGAAGAGAGGGTGGGGAAGGAGAAGGAGAAAGGGAATGTAAGTTAAAAAGAGAAGCAAGGCCTTGGCTCTGCAGCGTCAGCCTGAGAAGCCCTCTGTGTCCCCTCCTGACCGGGAGTTGGGAAACCCGCACCTCCTCTCACCAGCACAACACAACACATCAGATCAGGCTTCCCTGCTGGGTCAGCGCCGTCTAGGCCGTCCTACTCCCCTGGTGCCTGTGTGGTTTTCTACCTTGGGAATGGAGCCCTGAGTAGAGCTCAGGCCTCACAGATGGTGGACCCCTAAACCCTGGGGACCCACCTGTGCTGAGCACGGCCCCCAGTCCTGAAGTGAGCCACGGAATCTGACAAGAGCGGGTTATGGCCCCAGGACTGCTGCACTTGGAATCCCGTGGGAAGCTGACCTTCAGGTCTGGACCGCAACGAGCGGGCACTGGGGCGCCTCTCCCTGTCAGTCCCAGTGGATCCTCCCTGAGCACGCATCCCTCTCCTCGCTCCTGTTATTAAAAGCACCCTCTGCTCTTCCCTGACATCTGTCCCCACCTCTCCCTGAGAACGGCAGCAGAAGGGTCCAACTCACCAACGCCGAGTCGCCCAAAAGACCCTCGGAGTCCTTGTCTCTGGGGAGGGCGTGAGAAGACACCTGACATACAAACAGCCACTTGCTCAGCCTTCGTGTCGCCTGGGCTCACACCGCAGCGCCGGCAGTCACTCAACAGGGAGCTCAGTTGCTCCAAGACTCAGTTACCCTGAATAGGACACGGACTGGGGTGGGGGAGTTTTAACACCGCCTCCTCTCAGGGCTGCTGGCCTGACTGGGTGGCGTGTATGCAGGACTTCACAAAAAGACCTCATGCACTGTGGGTACATAATCAACCACAGCTAAAGCGAAACGAAGTGTTTAAATAGCCTAGATTTAACTTTAAAGAATTTAAAACAACAAACAAGTAAGCCCCACTCAACAAACAATAATTATCCAAAAAAACTTGAAAACTTCTCTCCAATATGAAGATTATATAAAAATTCGAGCGCTCTCATGGGCTCTCTGTGATACCTGGTCCCAAACTCATGCTTGACTCTAGGTGATAAACGCTCCACTGGATTGCTAAAGTCCTGTCCGAGCCTCACCCTCAATTCTCAACCAGTCATCCCATCCTCAGTTCTGGGACGGGTAAGGCTGTCAACTTGATTAGCTTGGGAGGGACCCAGGAGATGGGTGTGTCTGGGGAGGTCATGTATGGGTGACCTTGGGGTCTACCTCTGGTCCCTCCCCTTCTTTGGTGCTGTTCCCTGATCTGCCTCCTGGCCGCCATGAGCTGAGCATCTCTATTCCACCGCACCTGTCTACCATGATATTCCTGCCTTGGAGCAGCCAACCATGGACTGAATCCCCTGAACTGTGTACCAAATCCACCTCTCCCCCTTTACATCATGGGTGTCAAGAATTTTGCTTCAGCAACAAAAAAACCTGACTAAGACAGTGCTATAAAGGAGAAGAGGTTGGATTTGGCTTATAGTTCAGGAGGTTCAGTCCATGGTTGGCTGCTCCAAAGCAGAAATATTGAGGTAGAAGGATACAGAAGAAGAAAGCAACTAACCTCATGGCAGCTAAGGAAAGGAAAAGAGATAGGGGTGCTAGGGAGAGAGATGCATCCTTCCAGGTCACAGCCCAGTGACCACCTCCGACCAGACACCACCTCCTAACAACCCATGCAGCCACGAACTCGTCCATGGATGGATCCACCAAGGAGCACAGGACCCCGTGGTTCAGTCACCTTCCAAATGCCCACTTCTGAGACAGGAGGCTTGGGAGGACATTCTAGATCAAGACCACAACAACACCCTTACCATCCCATGGGGCTAAGACTCCATTCATAGAGCTTTTTCCTCCTTGCATAGAAATCTATGCATATACACATACACATTTATTGCATAAACATATATGTGACAGGTATTTGATTTTACAGTAGCACCCAGATCTCCAGTAAATCACAGTGGACCAGAGATGAAGGGCACATAACATTTATAGGAAGAGCAAAAGTAAAAAGTCAACAGGAAGGAACTGGGGGAGCCTTTGGAAGACTGGAAAAACTTGAGAGGTTTTCCCATTTCCTCCCCCAGCAGTCTGCACAGGATACTTCTCCTCTGATCACCAACATATGTGGGATTTCTTCCCACCAGCAACCAATCGATTCCATAGCAGACACCAGCCAGCTGCCCTCTGATTTAACTCAGTTCTGGAATGCTCCACCTGGAGACGGTGTCAGATCCCACAGCCGGGGTTTGTCCCAGCTTCAGACGCCAGTCGCATCCGCCATGCTGTCTTGTTCCCACAAGCCCCTTCTGGGGTTCTGCTCATTACCCAGCAGCTCATGGGCCTCAGGGGAGCCCTTACTTACATTTGCTGGTTTATCATGAAGGACACTGCAGAGAATGCACAGGCAGAGCAATACGGGGAAAGGGATGCGGAACAGACCCGCCTTCAGTGCCCTGGCTGGGCACACCACCCTCTCGAAGCCTTGTACAGTGCTCAGCTTTTGGGAAGTTCTCCAGACCCCATCCGTTGGGTTTTTCTGGAGGCTTTATTGCTTGTCTAGTGTCTATTGATGTTGTCTATCGCATGTCTGTTTCATATCTATTTCATAAAGGCTTTATTACAGACACAACTAATTAAATCTTTGGCCATTTGGGATCGTTTTAACCTTCAACTCCTCTCCCCTCCTCAGAGGTTGGAGGGTAGACTCAAAGATCTAACCTCCCAGTCCTGCTTTGTCTTTGCTGAGACCTCTGCCACTATGAGGGGCTGTCGACCACCAGTCAGCTCAGTGGCACACGGAAAAGACCCTCATCGTTTTGGAGATTCCACGGATTCTGGGCGGTATCACAGTATCACGGGAGCTTACCTACCAGCTTACCTGCACACTGTCTTCGGGCATGTTCTGTGATGCCTCCCCGCTCACAGACTCACCTGACGGGGCTGCCACTGAGCTCTTACCCGAGGTTCTGGGCCACCGGATGTCGGCTGTCTGGCTTCCAATACTGAGCTTGGTAAACTCTATCCTCTGCAGTGTCGCACCCTTCGGGACTCTGTCCCTGGAACAGAGATCGGACTAAGAAAGATGCCTCGGCTTGCTGCGCAGCGTAGCATTTGTGGAGGTCTGATCTGCTGGCATCGACAGCTTGCTGCAGACCAGGCTCTGATCTGCTTGAAGTAACTCATTTTGTATTCAAAGAACCGGAAGGTAGAGATGTAGCCACTCTGCTTTCCAGACACGGACACAGTGAGGGGTAAATGAGTCGCCCAAGGTAACAGGGCCACAAAGAGATGGCCCAGGGAGAGGCCACACATTGCTGAGTTTTAGAAGGACTTCCACCCAGAATTTTTAAATGTGGATCATAGTTCTACTTTTATTAACTGAAAGGCATTTACAAGAAATTATCTAACCATACAGTGAGTGTTTCAATATTTTTAAATGATTACAGTAAAGGACACATTACCATGAATCGCCTTGAAAATCTTGCAGCTCCCTTCAAACACCCTCCTCCCATCCTCCTCATCACTTTCTGCAGCAGCTCTGGAGTCCTCTTTCCTGAGGGTTTTTTACCAGGTAGAATCAAAAGTACTATGAATGCTGCAACCCCTAAAGCAAGGGCCCTCACC